TCCCTGCTTTCCCTGAGCACAGGGCTGGGGCTCAGAGGGGAAACACATGCAGAGAAGCCTGGGCTGAAACAGGGATTTTTGAAATACAGGCACACACATGCTGGCTGGAAAAAAAGAAAAATGTTTTCTAGAGGGAGATGTATACAGGAACGAAGGGTCTTGTTTCCAGAACTAGCATCAACAATAATTTTTGGTATTAAGCTTTGCCCCCCCCCTCACCCCCCCGCTTATGGAACTCCGGAAGAAGACTACCTGCATGCTCTGCATGCTTTTACACCAGCAGCTGGTACTGAGCACTACTGGAAGCAGGAGAAGTGACTGGGGCCTGAGCCCGTCTAGGATCATTTACAGGAGGAAGAGTAAAATCTCGAGGAAAACAGCAGATAATAAACAAAATGTTAAGCCGATTCAACCCTTTCTCCCAGTATTTCCAAAATAATAATAATTAGAAAAAAAAAAAAGTGCAAACTTTTTGCCTCAGTGCATGTTCAAAGAGAAGGAAACTTGACAAGCCAATCTCCCTCTGTTCCTCCTTTCTGCGAAATCCCTGACGGGATTGGGGAAAAGCACTAGCAACTATGCAGGAAAAGAGGAGGGAGCAGAGCTCATCAGCAGTTTATCGCTACATATTTCAGAGACCAAGTGAAACATCAGAAACATCAGCCGATACTGGAGATCACCCTTAAAGCCTGGAGGGGCAGCAGCAGAGTAATCCTGCAGTGAGCCCGCACGCCACGGCATCGCCTGGAGAGGAGTCCCCAAACTCACCATGCCAGTTGTAGACTAGCTCCTTCTGGAGCAGGAGGGACTTTCGTCTCTCCTCCAGTCCTCCGACAACACCGAGCCCGTCGCCTGTGCTCAGGAGGCTGAGGCAAAGCCCTGCTGCGCTCGAGTGCTTTGCATGCCTGCCCCCAGCAAGGCTTTGAACCAACGTGGCCCAAGGGAAAAGGCTTGGAAGCAGCTAAAAACGCTTGTGGCCTCTTGTGCTCCCTCACAAGTGCGACTTTGGAGCTTGAGGACCATCTCTGCAGCTAGACTCGTGACCCGTGTGGCAATACTGCTCTCAGCATCTCATGCAAGTCCTTGGCGGAGCAGTTATTGCCAGTTTGCATACACAAGACAAAGCCTGCCTCAAACATCCTTTAGCTGGGGATGCTTGTTCCCATTTTCCCCAGGAGGAGAAGCCTGCGACACCCAGTCCTTGCCCCACACCTGCTGTGCAACGCTGGCAACTTAGGAGCCCAGGCTGAAGTTTCCACTGGGCATTTCGTAAGCTGAGCATGCAATTCCCATGGAAAGGGAATAGAAAATAAGCCTGGCTGGAAAGGCCAGGCCTGGATATCCTCAGGGGCTGCAAACGTGTACTGGCCAAGCCAGATGCTTGCATGTCTGGCAGCCAATGCTGATCAATAAGATGGGAGGGTTGTTCAAGGAGGTTTTGAGGCAGCAGTGCAAACTTTTCCAGGAGCACAGCACCATAGGAATCTAGTTTTGGGCAGGGTACACAAGTCATCGCAGATGTAAAGACTCCACCGGTCTCATTTGCACAGCCATGGCTCTGATTTGCAAGGGCATTTTGAGGCCTCAGTAAATGCCACCCAACAGCAACGCACAGGTGCAGGCGACCTGCTTCTGGTCACCATCCACGCTACCCGGGGACCATACAGCACTAACTGGGCGCATATCTCTGCCGAACTGACATCGGAGCCACTGGACTCTCTCTGTGCAGCCATCCTGCACAGTGCCGTGAAATCAAAGCTGGACCAAAGAACCAGCTCTCTGGAGAGGGAGAGAAAGGAGATGCAGTCCAATGAGGCTCCCTGCCAGAGAGGCTGTGGCGATGTGCAGATAATGAACGGCGCGGTAACCCCCTGGCCTGGTCCTCATTTATTTGCTTTGTGGTTTACTCAATGCTGCTGTCTCTCACTGAAAGCGTGCAGGAAGGGCCAAGCTCTAATTACAAATGTGCTTTTAAAATCCATTTTTTTTAACAATGTCAAAGCACTAATGGCGCTGCAGCAGAACACAAGTTCAGCCGGAATAAAGGGAGGGCCAGGCAAATGATGAGATGGTAAAAGCTGCAGACCAAAAAGCTCCCCGCACCCAGAGAGAGCCGGGTTGGCTCTGTCGGGCTCACAGGCTGCCAGGTAAAACTTTGAATCAGGAAAAAAAAAAAAATTTCTCAGCACATAGCGCAGAGCACGTCACCCCGTCATACAAACCCGTGTGCTTGGCTCGAGATCATTCTTCGTGTTCAGCACACAAACCTTGTCTGACCAGGCAGCACTGCTCACTGTTTCTCCTCTTTTTGTTGTTAAAATGGCTGATGTCTGAATCCAAC